GGTGTCTCTATCCCCCCTACCTCCCTACCCCCGCCAGTCTGGCTCTGCCTTCCCGGAGCCAGACACTCAGGCTCTAGCCACCGGAGCCTTTTCCCATCTCAACCTCAACACTGGGCCTTTTGTCTTCTGGAGACATCTCGCTGCCCTTGGATGCCCCTAGCCAGGCCTGTCCCAGCCTAGCTCCTCTCACTTTTCCTTTCTCTAGTGCTCCCCAGCTGTGGTTTGGGATGGGGATACACAGGCCACGAGAGGGAGCTAGGCTTGCTCAAGGTCAGCCAGGGAGCTGAGGAGGTCTCCTGAGTCTCAGTGAGGAAAGAAGAGCCCTTTCAGGGACCTAAGACTAGCAAGAGCCAGTTGGGGTATCTGGGAAAGGAACTGGGGTATAGAAGACTCCAGCAGTGGGGGTGAGGGGGAGAACCAGACTGGCAGGTGGGTCAAAAATAAGCCTGGGTCCCCAACAGGCCTAGGGGAGTGTTTGTTGAGTGAATGAATGACAAGAATGAATGAGTGACCTAAGGGTCAGATTTGGCCAAGGATGGCTGTGGGCCCTCTCCTTCTTTCCCTTCCCTACTCTCATTCCTACCTGCTAAGCAATCCTTCCAGTACTGAAAATACCATGGGCTGTCAGAAGAACAAGCAAATCTGTCTTGGAGAAAGTGCAGCCGGAATGCTCCTTGGAAGCGGGAATGGCCAGACTTTGTCTCACCTACTTTGGTCATGTTGTAGAAAGAGCCATTCCCTGGAGAAGGATATCATGCTGGGTAAACTGGAGGGTCAGTGAACAAGGGGAAGACCCTCAACGAGATGGGCTGACACAGTGGCTGCAACGATGGGCTCAAGCCCAGCAAGGACTGTGAGGCTGGCACAGGACCAGGCAGCGTTTAGTTCTATTGTACACAGGGTCCCTATGAATTGGAGGTGACTTGATGGCACCTAACAACAACAACAACAACAACAACAACAACAACAAGCAGTCCCTCTAGAATTGCTGGATTGCTTAGAGAGGAGTGATCTCACCCAGTTTAGGCAGAAAATGTCCAGAGATCTGTGCCCAGAGCTTCCTAGGGGTCAGCAGTTGCCTGTGCATCCTTATGTGTGGTCCTGGGTGGTCCCCTACATGAAGGTCATGTGCATATTCTACTCTCCTAGATGGGCTTCTCCCCTCTACTGGACAGTCTCTAGGTCTAGTCTGGGGCTTGGGCCAGCATCTCCGTGAGGCTGGAATTTGCAGGTGCAGAGACCCAGGCCATATGAGTGGCCTGAGGTAGAAAAGTGTTGGACAGTGATGGGGGAGGTGATAACAGTGGTGATGGGGAGGTGACTTTCATGGTGGAAATCATGTAAGTAAATAAAATGATGGAAATGGGGGCCTGAGTGATGGTGAAGGGGACAGTGAGAGTTCAGATAAACGAGCTGGTGGAGGTGGCAGTAATGGCAGAGGTGGAGGTGACCATGATGGTATGGATAATGGTGCAGTGGAGGTAGTAGAGGCGATGGTGATGGCAGTGGGGGAGATGATAACAAAAATACGGTGGAGGTGGTGGAATGAAGGGATGGCGGAATGGTAATGACAGTGGTAGTCAAAGTGGAGAAGAGAAGGGTAGAAGAGAGGGTAGGGTTGATATATTGAAGAAAAGGTGGTGGTGGGATTGGAGGTGAAGGTGGAGGTGGTGGTGGTGAGGGAGGAAGTGGTGTGGATACGGTGGTGTTGCTGAGGCCATGAGAGAAGGAAGGAACCGTTGAACTCATCCTGCCCAGCCCTCTGAGTCTTATTTTACAGATGAGGAAACTGAGGCTCTCAAGAGGACCCAGCTTCTGATACAATCCTGAAGGAGGTAGAGAGCAGATCTGGGCCCCTCAGACCAGTCCTAAGGACCAACTGGGGCTCAGAGAGGCTCTGCATTCTTTGGAAGCCATGCAAATGCATGCAAATGAGTATGCAGAAGGCCCCTGTGCCTCAGCAGGTTGACCCAGGACTTCCCACCATCCCCCTCTCCCTAAGCTCAGACTTTGCAGGGGACTTTGTTTCTGGTCCTGCCACTGACTTACTGTGTGACTTTGAGCAAGACACTCAGATGTAAGGGAGATAAAAACAGGAGATAACACCTTAGGTTGCTCTGAGGACTAAATAAGATAACACACATGAGATGTCAACACAGAGTCTGGCGCAAGCATGCTTTCAGTCCAGCAGCTGCTCTGCTTACCATCATCAACAGCGTTGGCACCGTCATTAGCTACTCCAACCTGCCCATTGATGGATGCTCAAACTGAGGCCTGGCGTGGCTGCAGACCTGAGAGGAAAGAGAAGGGGCTCAGAGACCCAGGCTTGGCCTTGGCAGGAGAAGGAGGTGGGGTGGACCCCTGCTGAGAAGGGAACCAGTGAGAGCTATATTTGAGCTCTTGGTGTGATGACTAAGAAGGCTGATAACAGGCTCCGGGGCTCAGGGCGCAGGCAGGCCGGGGGCAGCTGCCAGGGAGAACCGCCCCCCTGGAGACAGCTGTCTCCAGAACCCCTCCTGGCTCTCCTGCTTCCCTGCTTCCCTCTGCTCCGGGGAGGTGAGGAGGGGTGTGTGGTGAGGAGGAGGGCATACCTC